TTTTTGTTTTCATGTTCGTTTTTGTTTTTTTTTGTGTGTGCGGGTTACGGTATATGTGTGTGTGTTTTTTCCCGAATGCGTAGCAAGGGTTCCCGTTTCACTCTGGGGGTTCTGGGGGTTGAGGGTGTGTTCGCTCGACGTTGCGTTCGCGAGCGCAACCGTCCGCAACCGTCCGCAACCGTCCGTACGAACTCCGTATGGCCGTGCCTATGGGAAGTTTTGCAGAGGTGGTTCTTTTTGGAGGTTTCAGACGTCTGGTTGCTTCGTTTCGCGTGGCAGGCGTGGCACTTCGTGACATTCAGACGTGTTCTGCAACGTGTCGAAAGTCGTTGCGCGTGGCAGGCGCAATACTTTTGCGACGTTTTCAGAAGATGTGTTGCAGTTTTCGTGGCAGGCGCAGCACTTTGGGCGTGTCCATCGTCATTTTTCGTGGCAGGCGCAGCACTTTAGACGTGTCGCGTTGCGTGTTTTTTGCAAATCGCATTGGCAGGGCTGCGTCAAGTGGCGACAAGGTGCAAATTCCGTGGCAGGCGTGGCATTTTGTGCGATGTGCTGAAAATTGACGGAAGCCTCGCACGAAACATCGATTTTGATGTTGCCAATTTTCGGTTCTAAGGAAAACTCGTAGGAAAACGTCGATTTTGAAGCTACAAAGTGTGAAAATTGGAGGAAGTCTCGCACGAAATGCTCGTTTTGGTGCTCCCACCTGTCTCGTCTCGCGTGTCTGGTTTTCCCGTGGCCTCGCCGTGTCTATGGTGGAAGCTGCAAAACTTGTCCTTTTGTCATGTTGCTAACTATGAAAATTGGAGGAAGTCTCGTGCGAAATGCTGTTTTTTCTGCATCCACGCGTCTTGTCGCGAGTCGCTGATTTTCCTGTGGCGTCGCCGTGTCTATGGGGGAAGCCGCAAAACCTGACCTTTTCGAATGTTTCCACGCAGGTTGTCATGTCGTTTTGCGTGGCAGGCGTGGCACTTTGTGACATTCCAACCTGTTTGATAACGTGTGGAAAATGTCAAAATTGGAGGAAGTCTCGCACGAAATGCTCGTTTTTCTGCATCCACGTGTCTTGTCTCGAGCCGCTGGTTTTCCTGTGGCGTCGCCGTGTCTATGGGGGAAGCCGCAAAACATATCCTTTTCGAATGTTTCCACGCAGGTTGTCATGTCGTTTTGCATGGCAGGCGTGGCACTTTGTGACATTCCAACCTGTTGATGATGTTCACAAAATGTCAAAATTGGAGGAAGTCTCGCATGAAATGCAGGTTTTTCTGCATCCACGCGTCTCGTCTTGAGTCTCTGGGTTTGCCTGTGGCGTCGCCGTGTCTATGGGGGAAGTTGCAAAACGTCTCCTTCGCGAAGGTTTCAAATTTCCACACTTTACACTCCTCACACTCCACACTCTACACACCACACTCTACACTTTCCACTCCAGACTCCACACTCTACACTTTACGCTCCACACTCCACACTTTACACTCCTCACTCCACACTCCACACTTTACACTCCAGGACTCCCACACTTTCCACTCAACACTCCACACTCCACACTTTACACTCCACACTTTACACTCCTCACTCCACACTTTACACTCCTCTCTCCACACTTTACACTCCACACTTCACACTCCACACTTTCCACTCAACACTCGACACTCCACACTTTACACTCCACACTTTACACTCCTCACTCCACACTTTACACTCCACACTTTAACACTCCACACTCCACACTCTACACTTTACACTCTACACTATACACTCTACACTCCACACTTTACACTTTACACTCCACGATTTCCACTTTACACTCCTCACTCCACACTTTACACTCCACACTTTACACTCCACACTCTACACTTTACACTCCACACTCCACACTCTACACTCCACACTTTACACTCCACACTCCACACTCTACACACTACACTCTACACTTTCCACTCCTCACTCCACACTTTACACTCCTCACTTTACATTCCACTCTCCTCACTCCACACTTTACACTCCTCACTTTACACTCCACACTCCACACTCCAGACTCCACACTTTGCACTTTACACTCCTCACTCCACACTCTACACTCTACACTCCACACTCCACACTCTACACTCCACACTCTACACTTTACACTCCATACTCCACACTCCACACTTTACACTCCACACTTTACACTCCACACTCCACACTTTGCACTTTACACTCCTCACTCCACACTCTACACACCACACTCCTCACTTTACACTCCACACTCCACACTCCAGACTCCACACTTTGCACTTTACACTCCTCACTCCACACTCTACACTCTACACTCCACACTCCACACTCTACACTCCACACTTTACACTCCATACTCCACACTCCACACTTTACACTCCACACTTTGCACTTTACACTCCTCACTCCACATTCTACACTCTACACTCCACACTCCATACTCTACACTCCACACTCTACACTTTACACTCCATACTCCACACTCTACACTTTACACTCCGCATTCTACACTTTACACACTCTACACTCCCCACTCCACACTTTACACTCCACACTCCTTACTTCACACTCCTTACTTCACACTCCACACTCCACACTCTACACTTTCGACTCCACACTGCAGACTGGTAACAAGGGAAACATGTACAAGACTGTTCAAATAAACTATTGCAGAAAGGTATTGTGCGTCACTGCATAACCATGTGTTTTGACATCTGTACCATTAACATACGTGTGAGCATTCGGGTTCGTGGGCTCCATCTTGTTTTCAGTTTTGCTGTCGCTTTTTCGTGCTTTTCATTTTTTTCATTTGATAGATATATATATATATAATTATATATGTATATTATATGTGTGTGTATGTAAATATAAATATGTATACTTTTCCGTTTCTGATTTTGCTTCGATTCATTTTCGATGCCGAATGACAAGTACATGATGGCCAAATGCAAAAAAGGAACAAGTATGAACATGATAATATTAACTGCACATGAGAATGACATTTTCACATAATTGGAGAATGAAAAACATGAAAATGATAATTTCACATGATCGGAGAATGATATGAAACAGGAAAAAACATGAAAAACAAAACGAAAAAATGAAAAAATAATTCCTTGGTCCGGACTCAGTCTGTGGCTGTAAGATTCTCATAAATGTAGTAGGCAACATGTCCATGTACCATCATGTACTAATGTACTTGTCATATGCGCATATGTACCATACAGACGCCGCGAGTGCTTACATTCCAAGCTTGCGGGGCTGCTTCATCTCATCAACATATCTGGTAAATCCATCCAAACTTGGGCCGAACTGCTTGGGAGAATAGCCAGCCCGATGTCGGACGTCCGCAGGACATCGAACACAAACCAGGTCCACTGGAGCCTGACAACTCGTAAGTTCCGCACTGCCCGCCACTTGGCCCAATAACTCTCTGAAAATCCACCTTCATGGCGGACAATGCGTTCACCAAGATCTCCACCTTCCAGAACCAGAATGCCTGCAATGATTCAAAGGGATGGATCGGGAAGAACAAGTCCACATGCAGTTTGCTTCCTTGCAAAGGCACATTCAGGAAGTGTTAGTCATCAGACCATACTTGACAGGTTCTGATACAATAGTTCAACATCTTTCTTTCAAACAATGCAAGCCACTTGAGTCTACCAAGGGGATGTAACTATTCTCCGTACGGCATTGACCATCATCTCAGGAAACAGTACGAGGGATCGCAAGTTTGCCTGCTGCCGGTTGCCCTACCTTCAGAAATGTTCCGCAGTTGCTCCTGCTTTGTGCTTAGACTTTCTCTCCGCTGTTTCGGATGTTCAATCGGCGAGCATACTTTTGGTTTCTCGGTCCGTAAGATTGGGTTGTTCAGGCTCTTTGTTTCCAGGTCTAGTACAGCCTCAAAATCTCCTGTAATTGCAAACATTCTGCATGGGTCTTGCCTGTTTTGATAGGAGCTGACACGACTTGAATTGCCAGCTGGTGAGGCTCGAGTCACACTTGGGCTCCATCACCTTAGGCTGCAGCGTCACGGCATCTCACGGCTATGTCTGACAGAAGTATTCAGGTGGCTGGAAAGGTCGTTCAATTGGGCTCAGACTACTGATCCTGAAGCCTTTTCAACAGGAGTTGTGTCATACTCCCTTGAGAATGACCTCAGACTGTGCGCACTGCTGAAGACCTTCTTTTTTTGTTGTGTGTGTGTGCTCGTGTCTGTGTCCGTGTGTCTTCCTAACAGAAAAGCAAACCTTTCCCAAGCTTCAGGCGGACGCCACATCCCCAGGAAGCATTATGCCATTGGCTCACAATCTTTCAGCTGAGACACACTCAACACATTTGGTGATCACCGCTTCATAAATCATTGATGAAAAAAATGGTGTAGCCGTCTTGCAGAACCGAAAAAAAGAAAACCGCTCAAATAACGAGTTACTGGAAGCGCTTCTTCTAATTTGTCTTGAGTTTTCCAGTTTTTGTTAAATGTGTTGGCTAGTCTGACATCTTTCAGTCTTGGTACCAACCACAGCCACATGCATGCAGAAGAGGGTCCAGAAAGGAGAGTATCATCAAGAAACTTTCATCAAAACATCTGCAAGCATCGAAAGCGAAGCCAAGCACAAATATGCAGATATATGTTATGATTCATGACACGTTCATTTTCTCTCCCACGAGGCCAGTTCAGAATCCACCATAGGCAGAATGGCCTAACCATCCAAAAGCTTTCCGCTTCAATCATGTCTTTTACTGCTGCCGCAAATATGTGCATGCACTGTTCGGGAACTCACAAACACAACATTCAAGACAGGATATGAGTAAAACAGCAACACTAAAAGAACTCTGGAAATCCTCCAGCCGGCTCCAGCCTCTTCTACCGCAAGCAGAGGCACCTTGACGTATCCCCGGCACGCAGCATCGACACCTGGCATGGAGAGTCTCTAAGCAGGAGCAATCGTCTTCACCAGAGACCTCACGAAATTTACAGTCGCCAAAAGACCTCAGAACCGCTCTTTTAATCACCTGCCCAATCAATCTCTGTCAAGCCGAGCCAAACGTCCTAAGTTGGGAAGTGTCGCACTGGCTTGGGCTTTGCGCTATGGGAACGGCTGCACCAAATGAAGTCCATGGTGCCAAAATGACATGCTCTGTGCAGCGCTTTGGGCAGTGCCGTGCAGACTAATTCAGGATCCACGGGTTCACTCCTCGACCTTGCGAATTTTGATTGCCGTAGTCCATGGTGGGCTTCATGCTTCCCATGCTTCCCATGCTGCCTGCCACATCCGTCATAGCACCACCACCTGCCGTACCATTGGCGACTGCTGCTGCCACAGCTGCAGCATTGGCTCCAGGTGGTACCACAGACACAGGCTGCCAGTAGCCACGCCTTGGCCAAACACAGTAGCAGCTTTTGGGACCTCCAACGTCTCTGGTTTTGAATTTGGAAAGGAAAAGGCGGAAGACCCGGAATTTGAGGCTTGGGGCTGAATGATCGCCAAAGGCACACGACGGATGGATCATGTGGAAACAGAGCTGAGTCATCGAATGCCCAGCCCCTGCCATCCGCAAGGCGTAGGTAGACGCGCCCATCAGCACCAAGAATCTCCTCTGCCACTGCCAGGGTGGCATTTTGGCATAGCCTCGGTTGTCTCCGCACAGCGACCTCTGCCTCTCTGTCTCTCTGTCTCTCTCTCTCTCTCTCGAATCTCTCTGAGAATCTCTCAATAGTCTTCTTTGGTTTTCAAGTGCTCCCGCGTCCTCCTGAGTCCTCTCAAGTCCTCCTGAATCCTGCTAAAGTCCTACATGTAGCGCATGTTTACCTGTAATAGAAGGATTCAACAACATCTTCGGTGCAGTATGTTCCATTTTGAAGACTTTCCGCCTCTACTGAGTTCATTTGCCAAGTTGCGTCTCTCCTGTGCGCGGTGCCTCCACACTGGGTCCGTGGCGAAGATCAACTCCGCCGGCAAATGCCACACGGTACCATCTCGGCAGAAGCCAAAAAAAAACGTGAGACAGGAATGCGTGCATCGATTTAAACACTGTATCTGATATCTGGAATGATGCAACTTGAAATGACTAATGTGGATCAAGACGCGGATAGCGTCCTGCTTCTCCAGAAAATGCATTTGCTGGTGCCACCATGGTCAATGGCTGGCTAGGTCCTCTCATTGGAACCCCTATTGTCACGCTTACTCAAAGGCCGAAAACTAGTTGCTGGGGGTTGCGTGCAACAAAGCCAGCTTACCCGCGGACCAAACATGAAAGCAATAGGCAAACAGGGTTTCGATCTAAGTACAGGATAGTGAGTCGTTCGGACAAAACGAACACAAATTGACGTGGACGTTTCTGTTTTTTTTTGTCGTTTGTATTAGTTTTTTTCTAAGAATTTGTCTGTTTCTCGCTGTAACTGGTCAGTTTTTCTACATCTGATGTCTTGTTTTGTGTTTTTGTTTTGTTTTGTTTGTTTTTGTTTTTATAATTTTTGGCTTTCATTCCCTCTGTCCCCCCCAGCTATCCCGATCTCGCAGCGCTCCCACCTCAGACGTGGTGGCCACTTGGTTTGGTTTTGTTGTGGACGTGGGTTTTGGGGGGGGTGGGGGGGGGGTCCGGGGGGGCGTAATAACGTCCTGTCGCATGCGTTTTACTTGACCCCGTTGTTTTGATGCTACGTTGTGAATTTTCTTCCTGGAACTGCAGACGCTCTTGATGCTACGTTGTGAACTTTCTTCCTAGCACTTTAGACGGTCTTGATGCTACGTTGTGAACTTTCTTCCTAGCACTTTAGACGGTCTTGATGCTACGTTGTGAACTTTCTTCCTAGAACTTCCGACGCATTTCATATCTATATTTTTTTGGGGGGGGTTCGGGGGGGCGTAATAACGTCCTGTCGCGTGCGTGTTACTTGACTCCGTTGTTTTGATGCATTAGGAAAAACAAACACCGAATCAAAGACCCAACACTCGACAAATCAATTTTCCAATTTGTCTTTAGACAAAGCGTCTGACCTTTGAAACCTCAAGGATTTATGTCTCAGCTCCGCAGACTGCTGAAGTCGAATTGAGCGCCAATCGGAAAAGTGAAGGTGCGCACGGATGGTCCCCATTGGCCCTGCATACCGAACATGGTGTAAGAAAAAGATGATGATGATGATGATGATGACGACGATGATGGTGATGATGGTGATGATGGCGATGATGGCGGTGGCAATGCTGATGGTGATGATGGTGATGATGATGATGATGGTGATGATGATGATGATGATGGTGGTGGTGGTGGTGATGGTGATGGTGATGACGGTGGTGATGATGATGGTGGTGATGATGATGGTGATGATGGTGGTGGCAATGCTGATGGTGATGATGGTGATGATGATGATGGTGGTGATGATGATGGTGATGATGGTGGTGGCAATGCTGATGGTGATGATGGTGATGATGATGATGATGATGGTGGTGATGATGATGGTGATGATGGTGGTGGCAATGCTGATGGTGATGATGGTGATGATGATGATGGTGGTGATGATGATGGTGATGATGGTGGTGGCAATGCTGATGGTGATGATGGTGATGATGATGATGATGATGGTGGTGGTGGCAATGCTGATGATGATAAAGATGATGATGATGATGATGATGGTGATGATGCTGATGGTGATGATGGTGATGATGATGATGATGGTGATGATGATGATGATGATGGTGGTGGTGGTGGTGATGGTGATGATGATGATGATGACGACGATGATGGTGATGATGGTGATGATGGCGATGATGGCGGTGGCAATGCTGATGGTGATGATGGTGATGATGATGATGATGGTGATGATGATGATGATGATGGTGGTGGTGGTGGTGATGGTGATGGTGATGACGGTGGTGATGATGATGGTGGTGATGATGATGGTGATGATGGTGGTGGCAATGCTGATGGTGATGATGGTGATGATGATGATGGTGGTGATGATGATGATGATGATGGCGACGGTGATGGTGATGGTGATGGTGATGATGATGATGATGATGGTGATGATGATGATGGTGGTAATGATGCACAAAAGATGAATGGAGTCCTTAGTTGCGGGCAAAAAAATAGAATATTTTGCTCGCAGTTCCACTGGCTTCTATCATGACAATATTTCCCCCAATGGAACTGCGCATGAAACATGTGAAATCAAAGACTGTCCCTTAAACGCAGTGGAATTGCGTGATTCAAACAACATTGAATCATTGAAAATGCTATTTTACACCACGGCCGCCTATGAGCGGTGGACCTAGTTGCTGAAGGACAGACGGCTCCATTCATTCAATCTCGAAACAAGTGTCGAAATTGCCAACACCGCACTTGCAGAAGGGATCGAAACAACATGTCAACATATGCAAACATATGCCAACATATTGTGCCAACTACATCATGCGCCATAACGTACACAATTGAAGTGAAATCTCTTGAAACCCTGATGCAAATGCCCCTGCTCGGAACAAGCTCCCCCGCTTCGGGCGTGCTGCGCAATCAAAGGCCAACCAGCCACAAAAAAACGGCTGAAGACTTGCTGCACATATCGTTGCTGTTCCAGTTGCTGTTGCTGTCACTGTTGCTATTGCTGCTTCGTCTGCTCCTGTGCTGTTGGTCTTGCAAACTTTGGGTGACGTCTGCTTTTCTTCCTCTCTTCTCTTCTTTTACTTCTCGTTCTGTGCTCCTTCTCCTCTTTCTGGTGTTTCTTCTCCTTTTTCTTGTGCTTTTTCTCCATTCTCCTTCTTCTTTTTCACCTTCTTCCTTTTCCTCTTCTTCCTCTTCTTCTTCTTCTCCTTCTTCTGTGCTATTTTCTTGTTCTTGCTGGTGAATCGCACTACAGTATTCACAGCCATTAAGAGCACAACAGCATGGCATTTGTTGTCTTTTACTCTGACGGCATTACTTTGGATATCTCAGCAGCTTGATGGTGGCAGTGATGCTTCTTTTGCGCATGCTAGGTCTTGCTATTGCACTGACTGGGTGGATATCACACTCAACTGGTGATAAATTGCTTCTTTGACTTGACGGGCGACAAGATATTGCATAAAGGAGTTCTCAAAACCAAGAGTCATCTCCATCTTACTGTCAGATTGTGGAGGTCAAGTTTCAGGCCAAAGAGTATTGGTTGCGGGGAGAGAGAGTGAGTGTGTGTGTGTGTCTGTGTGTCTGTGTGTCTGTGTGTCTTTGTCTTTGTCTCTGTGTGTGTGCGTCCATCAGCAAGGCCCCACAGGGCTGTTGCTGGGTGACAGGCTGGTGAGACGAGGAAGAAAGGATCTTGGGGAAACAGAATAACAACCGTTGCATGCCCCGCATAACCTTTTGCCTAGTCTGACAAGAGCGGAGTGCTAGTCCAAAAAGGGGAAGCCCCAAGGTGTATGTGAACATCAACAGCTTTCTTGCAAGACAAGAAAAGACGGGGCATTGCAAAGCTGCCAAATGCTGCTGCTTCTGCCTTGTCGGGGAAATGAGACAAGGCCAAGATATCACATGTTATCATATATATATATATAATAGCCACCCTCTCCCTAGGAGGACCCCGTTGAATTGAAATATTTCAATTTCACGTGCCCCCTCAATTTTTGCTCAATTGACGTGGCCCCACGGACCCCTAGTGTGAAACGCTCACGTACAGCATTCTTTGACCTGGCACGAGGCCAAGCTCAACGAAATATCCGGATGGCAAATGGATTGGAAAGTCTTGTGCATATGGCAAAATTGGGTGACGCATGTGTCAAACAGCATGACTCCCTAGGAATAAAAATCAATTTGTAACAAAAAACAATTTTTTCCAGCTCAGAGCCCGAGCAGTTTGCACTGCATTTTGCCGTATTGGCAGTTGCAGTGTTCAACCCCAAACACTCAAGCGTTGCCCATGTCATTGGGTCCAAACTTGCCATTGAAATTTAATACAGATATGAAATTTATGGGAAGCTTGTTTCAATGCTTTTTCCCGAATGCGTAGCAAGGGTTCCCGTTTCACTCTGGGGGTCTGGGGGTTGAGGGTGTGTTCGCTCGACGTTGCGTTTGTGGTCGCAACCGTTCGCAACCGTTCGTACGAACTCCGTATGGCCGTGCCTATGAGAAGTTCTGCAGAGGTGGTCATTTTTGGAGGTTTCCAATGTGTCGTTGCTTCGCGTGGCAGGCGTGGCACTTCGTGACATTCAGACGTGTTCTGCAACGTGTCGAAAGTCGTTTTGCGTGGCAGGCGCAATACTTTTGCGACGTTTTCAGAAGATGTGTTGCAGTTTTCGTGGCAGGCGCAGCACTTTGGACGTGTCCATCGTCATTTTTCGTGGCAGGCGCAGCACTTTCGACGTGTCGTGTTGCGTGTTTTTGTACATCGCATTGGCAGGGCTGCGTCAAGTGGCGACACGGTGCAAATTCCGTGGCAAGCGTGGCATTTTGCGCAATGTGCTGAAAATTGACGGAAGCCTCGCACGAAACGTCTCGAGTCTCTGGTTCTCTTGTGGCTTCGCCGTGTCTATGGGGGAAGCCGCAAAACCTCTCCTTTTCGAAGGTTTCCAAGCAGGTTGTCATGTCGTTTTGCGTGGCAGGCGTGGCACTTTGTGACATTCCAACTTGTTTGATAACGTGTCGAAATTGTCAAGAGTGGAGGATGTCTCGCACGAAATGCTGGTTTTTCTGCATCCACGCGTCTCGTCTCGAGTCGCTGGTTTTCCTGTGGCATCGCCGTGTCTATGGGGGAAGCTGCAAAACCTCTCTTTTTCGAAGGTTTCCAAGCAGGTTGTCATGCCGTTTTGCGTGGCAGGCGTGACACTTTGTGACATTCCAACCTGTTTGGTAACGTGTCGAAAATGTCAAAATTGGAGGATGTCTCGCACGAAATGCTCGTGTTTCTGCACCCACGTGTCTCGTCTCGAGTCGCTGGTTTTCCTGTGGCGTCGCCGTGTCTATAGGGGAAGCTCTGCACTCCACACTCTACACTTTACACTCCGCACTCCACAATTTACACTTTAGACTCCACACTCCACACTCTACACTTTACACTCCACACTTTACACTTTGCACTTCACACTCCTCACTCGTCACTCGAGACTTTACACTCCACACTCCACACTTTACACTCCTCACTCTACACTTTACACTCCATACTTTACACTCTACAC